GGGTGTGATAGGTGTGATGGGTGTAAGAGAATGGATGTTCTAAAGTTGGAGACATCACCTGTTGTGAGCTACCTGCTGGGGGTGACGTGAGTAGAGCCCCAGCCCTCTGAGCTGTCTGTCTAGCCCTTGAGAAGCCAAGTTTTAGCTGGCTCCAAGTCTAGCATTTAGGGAAAGGTGTGGAGCTAACCGGGTCTTTAAGGATGCTTGCAGGGGCACATCTATAAAGAAATACCAAATAGAGTGAAGAAAACAGATAACAGGCTTCAAAAATCCAGCCACTTAGGAAGAACACAATACTCTTGAAACATAAAGCTGGAGCCGTGTTAGTTGTGAGAGAAAATATTTTATACACGAGCATATCTATTCAAGAAAAAAAGACATGAAAACTTAAATAATTTTCATCAAATGACTTGAGCAGGCCTGTTTTGGTTGATGCGCCTCTTACAAAGATAGAACAGGAATTTTGCAAACTCTAGGAAATGGTCCCTGGCCAGCAGCATCTCCGCTGCCTAGAAGACAGGAAAGTTTGAGACTGTCTGCCTTGGGATAACCCAGTGGACCTGCTAAAGCACAGAACATGGTCGGCTAAGCAGATGGTGGGTGGTGCCCAGGTGTGTGTGATTACTGGAGAAAAACGCGACATAGAAAGCAGTCTTTGTTCAATGATTGGCAAGCGCATCAGGGAAATTCTGGATCACTGGCAGAACACGCGTCACATTGTTCCTTAGGAGGAACCATCAGCAAATACTGCCGGGTTCCCGTATCTGTGAATTCTACCATTTGCAGCTGAAAAATACTTTACAGTTCATCTTAACTGAACATGTACAGGAATGTATTTGTGTTCTAGTGGCTGTTATACACCATTGAGAGATTGCTTAAATGCATTTAAGAAGGTCTGCATGAGGCACCTGCCAATCATGCCATTTCATATAAAGGACTTGAGTATCAGTGGGTTTTGGCATCAATAGGGTTCCTAAAGTCAATCTCCTCACTGCCAGAGAGCAACTATGCAAAGGTTTGAAGTGAGGCTCTGTCGTGTCTGGTGTTACTTGCCTTGGTAGAAAGACTCATGGAATCTTTTATAAATGATTAAAGTTGAAATAACCTCAAGAGCTCAGAGTCTGTTTCAAATTAAAAGCCAAGACTGTGTCTCACACAGGTAAGTCATCACTACAATTGATGGGTCTAAAAACTGATTTCCTATCAAAGGATTAAACAGTTCTGTTTATAATTTAGTGTTATTTGAGAATCTTTTATTGTAAGGAGAACAGGCTACTTTCTGTGCTGTAATCTATAAGCCCCAGAGGGTTAGCAGTTATAAAAGCACCCAGCCTGTGACATGGTTCCAGAGGCACCAGAACACTGGGGTGCCCGCTGTGACACCAGGAGTTACCGTGTCATCTGCGACTGAACTCACGTCGCAGCATTAGTGAGAGTCGCCTCTCGAAATCATCGTGAGGAGCCACGACGCTCGTTTCCTTCCTTTCCTAGTTGAACTGGTCTCTGTACATCATTTTCTGCCATTATGTGCCACGTCCTTGGAATCAGAATGAAGACACCAAGTGAAGCACCTGCGAGGGATCCGGAAGGCGGTCACGGTCGCTGCATCTTCAGCAGGAATAACGGGGGAAAAAAAGCAGAGGAACATCGCCTTCCCTCCTTCCAACCGTTAGCACCACCGTCTTCCGTGTTCTCCATACGCCAGCAGCCAATCAGATCCTTCCAACCGTGAGC